TTTTGTTGGAAGCTGGCTGGGAAGGTTAAAAATGGTGATCACATGACCCCGGAACAGTTCAACTGTCATAAGTACATGCCAGTTGCCAAATATCCAAATTTTGGACATGTGACTGTGGGGATGCTGCAATAGTCGTGAAGTATGAAAGCTGGTCATGTCATTTTTTTCGGCGCTGTTGTAACTTCAAACAATCACTCAAAGAATGGTTGTAAGTCGAGGACTACCTGTTCTTTTTAATTCTATATTCTCAGTACCTAAAATATCTCTGCTGTAAATCCCAACAGTGTTCTCATTATCAGATAAGAGAATAGCTACAAGAGCGGCAACACCAAAATTAGTGGAACGTATGCAAGGAAAGCTGCTTCAGGTCGCAGTGCAGAAAGAATATTTTCCCCCCCCCCGATGATCTAATCCCTTTACATTTCAGATTGTTCTTTTACAACACGGTTATTTTTCTACGTTGTCTGTAAGATTTAATTTAAAAAAAAGAAATAGGTTTTTACACAAGAGGTAGGTGGACAGGTACTTGCCTAAAGGGCAGGAAAGACATTTCTCTAATGGATAGATAGATTCTAGATTTGAAATGATTGGCATTTTCAAAATGTTGAATCAATGAAAATAGCAAACACGACTTTTAATGTCCTGTCTTAAAAAAAAAAAGCTTGTGCCATAGCAGGTAGGAATTTATTCCAGACAGTATTTTACTTTGGACTGGAGTGGGACATGTTTCTTTGTTCCCAATTTGTCCCAAAGCAATCTAGCATTGCTCACCCATCGCTCCATATCTGTTGTAAGAAAGATGTGTCAACCTTGTCTGCTCTTGAGAGCAATAGATCCTGGGCTGTCCTGTTCTAGGACATCACCTTCAGGTAACAGTGCACAGGCATGAAATATTAAGAGCCCCAATAAAAGGTTACAGCGATTCCATTTGCAGCAGCTTTCCTTTTGAGATGCTTATGAGAGGCACAGTCAGTACCAGAAGGTTTTTCTAAACCGAGGCAATTTGCCAACAGCAAAGCTGAAAATATGACAGCCTTTATCATTCCGCCTCTTCCCATTTCATGTTTTGTAATTCAAGCAATGTCTTTCTAAGAAACCCCTTTTTTTAAAAAAAAACCAATGTTCTTTAAAAGGAAGGCTTTTTGCTTCACTCAGGAAGGAATAGGTAGAGAAAACCAGAAATAAGTGATGTTTCAGAGAATTGATCTTTTATGGGGCACTGAGGTTTAACGGGAACAAATGCAACATGAATTTTATCCTGCAAGAAAAGCATTTCTGTGAAAAAATGAAATGGTGGAATTATGCTATAATTTGGACAAATGAAACAAAATGAATGCAGACATTGGGTGTTGCTATGTGCATAATACAATCAGGGTTCATGCATCTTTTTAGAATAGAATAGAATAGAATAGAATAGAATAGAATAGAATAGAATAGAATAGAATAGAATAGAATAGAATAGAATATAGAATATAGAATATAGAATATAGAACAGACATGTCAAACACAAGGCCCGGGGGCCGGATGCAGCCCGCGACGTGGTTTCATGTGGCCCTCGAAGCCATCCTGGAAACAGTGAGGGAATGGGCCCTGTTGCCTTGGCCCTCAGCCGTGGCCACCCAGGAGCCAATGTACAATTTTGTGGTGGCCATCTATGCTGAAACGCATTCAGTCTTAGCTCTACAAGGCCGTCTGGAAACAGCGAGGGACCGGCCCCCGCCGCTTTGGCCCTGCCCCGAGTGTGCGCTGGGGAGGTGTCACCCTTTGTGAGGAATGAAGAAATGCACCATCGCCTGGAAGTGATCAGCAAATAGCCCTTGCCTACTTCACATATCCAGCTTGATGGGCTCTGGGGGAGGGGTTTCGGCAGGCTCTTCCAGTGGACCATGCCTTGGCGCTTGCCCTGGTCCCACCCCCTTCTGCCAGAGACCCTCAGATCTGTCCCACTCTTGCCCAGCCCCCCCCAGGCACCATTGACATGAATGATGTAGAGCTGGCCATGCCCACCCAGTAGGCTACATCCACTCCAGCCATGCCCACCCAGTAGGCCGTGCCCACCCTGGCCACACCTACCCGCCCCCCCCAGGACAACCGCAATGCTGATGCGGCCCTCAATGAAATTGAGTTTATTTATTTATTTATTTATGAGACTTATATACCGCTTTAAGTGCAAGCACTCTCTAAGCGGTGTACACCAGTAAGCAATGTATATATATATTTACATTGCCCCCAACAATCTGGGTCATTTTACCTACCCCGGAAGAATGGAAGGCTGAGTCAACCTTGAGCCGGTGGGATTTGAACCGCTGACCTGCTGAACACAGTCAGCTAAAGTGGCCTGCAGTACTGCACTCTAACTGCTGCGCCACCTCAGTTTGACACCCCTGATATAGAATATAGAATATAATATAGGAAAATAGGAATTGATCTTATGCCCCCCCCCGGCCAGGAAGCACAAATCAACCAGAAGCAAGAATCCAGCCATGTGTGGTGAAGCCTACCACAATGAGAACTCTTTTTTCTTCCTCTTCCTTCTTCACAAGTCCCATGTGATTTTGCAGGTCCTCACCTATTTCAGTTCTCATGTCTGCCCAGATGGTATCTAGTTCCAAGGAGGAAGAGCAATTTTGTCCATGGCACAAAACATCCTAATGGCTCAAAGGTAGCTCAATCCATTATTCAGCAACAGGAGTACTATTGGATGATTCCATCAACACAATACGGGCAGATAAGACACAGTGGTAGGGTGTGAACCAAGGCAGTATTTGCTCTCCTTTTTTTGCCAGCATTGCTCTGGTTGTTTCTTCTATCATGTAATCTCCTGGAGTTATAAAGCCATGGAGAAATCCTGAATTAACAACAGATGAGGCCACTCAGGGGCAACTTCATCCAAAACACTTTTTCCTCTGATAGAATTCTATTGAGCGGTCGAAAGAGAAAGAAACGCAACTGTAACAGAAAGGGAAACCTCACTGAGCACCAGGGCAATTGCCCTCTGGGCAAGCAGTCCCAGTATCTCCCCCCCCCCTGAAAAATTATCTCCTATCACGTGTATTTAAGATGAAAATGTTGGTAGAGAGAAATTTGCAGTGAGGCAAGAGCGGATGACAACAGCCACATAACTCCCTTTGCTTTCAATAGGCAACTTCAAAAGCACAACCTATTTAACCAGGACTATGCCTCCCATTATAATGGACCCTTCACGCTTTTGTTAGTCCTAGAAAACTCAGTAGTGTAGTTTTCACTGCAATTTTTCAAAAGCGCAGCTCTATTATCACAATTTTGGAAGCCAGTCCAGCTTCCAAAGGAAAGGTATATGGCCCCTGCTTGGAAAAGGTTCCTTACAATGAAGGTTTCAGTGCTGCAAAGGAACATTTTATATTGCTTTATCTTGGTTAAAATCTCACCCAATTTATTCTGTATCTGGATTAGGCTGCTCAGTATGACATCAGTTCCAGGGTGTGATTTAGTTTAGGGATTAAGGCACAAGGCTAGAAAGAGGGAGACGGTGAGTTCTGGTCCCGCCTTAGGCATTAATGCTTCTGGATGACTTTGTGCCAGTCACTCTCTCAGACCAATCCACATAATAGGGTTGTTGTGGGGAAAATAGGAGGCGGAAGGTATATTGGATATGTTCACCACTTTCACCATTGTTTGTAAAGATAATAAAGGAGGAATACAAATAAATAAATAAATAAAAATAATACCAGAAAGTATAAATTCCGGTTTTAACTTAATCTACTAATTTTTCTTTTTAAATAATATTACATTTTGAGAAGCCGTAAGAAGCTCAACACATCAGCAAGCAAGATTCCCTAGGTTAAGCTTAGATCTCCAAATCAAACCTTGTAGGAATGGGATACACAGAAAGCCTGGCCCAAGAGAGACAGCATGCACTCAAGTCACAGAGGATCGCATCATGTCCAGAGGAATATATTGATGGTGTCGGTAAAACCCACTGAAAACAGACTATTTTGGTCTGTCCACTTCACAGATGGCTACTTAGAAACCTAAAGAATATTTGTAGTGATGGTGGTATTGTCTTAATTTATACTCCTTCAGTTTTTGGTTAAATAATTGGAACTATTAAACTCCATAAACCAAAAAGAGAGGGCTTTTTAAAGAAGTTTAAAAAATGATAGAAGCCCACAATTATGAAAGACATACCTGTGTAGCAGCCAATGATTTGGAAGACAAATCTTTATAGCTTCATATTCAATTGAGAATTCACTGCTTTCAAATTCTTAAAATGCCATGAATTGTGAAGAATAGCAAATATATTGCTTTCTACAGCTTCTGAATATGTAGCAAGGGCATAACCATTACAGCATATAGGAGCCTGCACTAATGGCAATTCATTGAAGCATTACCTGAAAAGTAATAGGATTACAACTTATACAGCAATTGAGATAACCTAATTACTGTAAATGCTAGAGCAACTCATTAATGGTTAAAAGTTTACTGCATATGTATACCAGTAGCAAAGATTTTTAAGTTTCTGCACAAAAAAAACCTTCCACTAAGAAAGTTGCATACCTGTGCTCTTACAGCAATCACAGACGTAGCTAATAAAAAATTAATTCCACCAAGTTAATGGAGTTTCCTCCAATGTGTGTGGTTACAAGATTGAACCTGAGGATGCATTTGCTACTTTCCTTCAAGGTAATTTTAATGAGATTTCATTCATTCATTCACTCTTGATTATGTAAAACTAATTTCATTCATTTGATTTGGTACTCTAATGTAAAGTGCCCAATCTGATCAATCTTGACACGGAAACTTTCATTGTAAATATGCAGCCTTTTCAGAGACACAAAATACATGTTAAAAATGTCTGGTTTTCATAATTACACCAGGTTTCCAAAACACCCTTATCTATATTAGTACTTAGCTCTACTTCTAATGTACCCAGTTCATTGATGTTACTGTTTTTTGTCTTCATGTTTCAGTTAGAGAACTTTCTCACATGTAAAGAGAAATCATGGTTGGAATCTTAGAAGTAAATATAAAGCTACTCATTTTTAATTGTACAGGCTTTAATATGTAAATTTAACAACATGCATTTAAAATCTTGTTTCCTTTTGAAACAGGCTTTGCTGCTTGAAATCACAGCAAGAAGATTTTGCATTTTAAGAGGAATTCATAAAGTAATCATGAATTGTTTATGATACAATAGATCTTGCATGAATGACCTAAACTGCATTATAAATACCTGCACTTCTCTATATTTTAAAATCAGTTCTATCAAGAAAAAAGACTTGGGAGTTAAAAGAGAATGAAATAGGGTAACACTGTATGATAGAAAGCCTACAACTCTAGCATTTGCCCATGGAAACAGAAATGTGACTTGAACTATTTTATTGCTCAATCTTGCAACTTATTTTTGTGCTTACAAGAAATGTCTGTTTTTCAAACTATTTTATATCACAAATATACCGTTCTGCACTTTCTATGTAGAAGACAACTCCGCACATTTACAATGTCTTTATACATCATTTACACGGCACCACTTTGTAATATACGAAGATTATAGGAAGCAACCAGAAAAATGATAAAATTGTTTAATCTTCAGCAAAGTAATCCTCAAGTCCCTCCAGTTCCATTTCTTCTGTTGTACTTAAAGAGGGAGCTGTAGGTATATCTGCCCGTGTCCCGCTGCTGGGTTTCACGTGGGAGCTTTCAAGCTGCCTTTCATCTTTTTTTATTTCTTTGGAGCCACCAAGTAGCTGCTGACTTTCTATAAAGTACTGATTGGGATGGCTCAGAGAAAAACCAATTTCTTTGACCTGTATAGAAAAAAAAAAGGGGAGGAGAGCATGTTCAGTTATTATATTTTATAAATATAAAATATATTTTATATATTTTCTTTATCTTCTTTTCCCTGTGACCTCCCCACGAATACTGTTTTTTAAAAAAAGATAGCTAGAATCTAAACATCTACATATATACAGGTAGTATAATAATCTAGGTGAAATTATTTCTTCTATTATTTTTAATAGAATATAAATAATAAATATAATCTTCTATTACAGTGGTTCTCAACCTTTTTAATGCCGTGACCTCCCCCCCAACCGGTCGTAAGTCGAGGACTACTCAACCGGTCGTAAGTCGAGGACTACTCGACTGGTGCAGCACCGTTTGCAGAATGGGACTTTTGATGGGCTCAGCAGGGCAGAGACAGCCTGGACAATTCCTATTGGCTTTTGAAAGCCAATAGAATTAGACTCTATTCAAGGAAAAGGGGGAAAAAATGGTGGACTGCGTTGTTTGGTGACCCCCGTGAAATGGTCGTTCGACCCCAAATGGGGTCCCGACCCACAGGTTGAGAACCACTGTTCTATTATATTTAATTTTTGCCGACCATCTATTTCTGAAAACCATACAGCATGTAAGTTTTCTTTAGAATGCACCTAACATTACACTATCCATTTCAAAGGATAGTTTGGCTAAATACTGTAATTGGATTTAACCATGTCTTTCTACCAGTGGTATGGACATAGTAATAGATCTATTTGGATTTTCCAAAGTAATACTGGGATGCATGTCAGGAAAAAAGGAAGAAAAAGTAAATCTTCTGCATTCATAAACTATGTTTTTCTGGCCTCCTTGAAATAGTGATTTCTTAAAGAGTTACTATTTAAGAGAGACTGTTTATGAGTCAAAGCATATTTTGAGACTTGGTTATCCGTGTTTTATTGCAAATCAGAGCAAAACTAAAGATTAAAATGGCAGACAAACATGCAGGCTGCCTTGTAAAGGGAATTCATTTCTTGTTTTTCTGTTTTTACAGATTATTTGATCAGGTGTACAAGAAACAGCCACAAAGCTAAACTACATTCCCTGGTTGTATATTCAGTTCCTTGTGACTCTTGTTAAGAGATTTGTTTGCTGGTTCTTAATTTACAGTCCTATATGATTTTGAAAAAAATGCCTCCTTTCTCCCTAGAAGAAGCAGCTGAAAAACAAAGTTCCTATAACTGGTAAAAAGGATTTGAAAGGAGCAAATCCCTTGGCTACTAAACAAATTGAAGATTTTGACACTTTTTTCCTGGCATTGCTCTTGGCAACTTTGTAAATTGTTGTATATCGACTTTCCCCCCACTTTGGAACAAACCAAATCCTTTGGATTTATAATTTCCAGCTGATTTTGAATCCAACCTAACAGGCAACCCACCACATGGGTGCACAATTAAATCCAAGATGCCCTCTCTGCTGCCTTTACCCAACTGCCAATCTTTTGCTTCTAGAGAGAAACAAGACACCATAGCTTAGAGAGCCTTCCAAATATGAGTTTGTTACTACCAAATCCTTACAATATTCTTCACCATAAAGAAAACCTTAGATATTTTAAATCAAGGACATTATTTTCAAAAAATAAATGTAGTTATTATATGCTTGTAAACAAGTAATTTTTAAATTAAAGAGAATGGAAAATGAACTAAAAATTATCCCTATAGCAAGGGTGTCAAACTCAATTTCATTGAGGGCCGCATCAGCATTGCAGTTGCCCTCAGGGGGGCAGGGGTGTGTGGCCCAGGTGGGTACAGCCTACTGGGTAGGCGTGGCCAGCTCTACATCGTTCATGTCAAGGGTGCCTGTGGGGGCCTGGGCAGGAGTGGGACAGATCTGAGGGTCTCTGGCAGAAGGGAGTGGGACCGGGCAAGCGCCAAGACATGGTCCATTTCTTCATTCCTCACAAAGGGTAATACCTCCCCAGCATGCACCCAGGAGGCAGGGCTGACACGGCAGGGGCTGGTTCCTTGCTGTTCCCAGATGGCTTTGTGGAGTTAAGACTGAATGTGTTTCAGCATAGATGGCCACCACAAAATTGTACATTGACTCCCGTCCGGCCTGGGCCAGGGCCAAGGCAGCAGGGGCCGTTTCCTCTCTGTTTCCAGGATGGCTTCACGGACCACATGAAACCACTTCGCAGGCCGCACCCGGCCTCCGGGCCTTGTGTTTGACAGGTCTGCCCTATAGGATCAGGCCAAGGTGCATCTTAGTTCAGAATTGTGTTTCTCATAGTGGCCAACCAGATGTCTCTTAATTATTTCTTCAGTTTTTATCTGCCTTTATTTTTGATCAACTTAAGGCAGCATATATACCTAGTGCTCCTGCCTCCTTTCCCTTCTCTACTTGCTCCTTCGAGTTGAAAAAAACTTGATGGCACATAATCAATCACTCAAACATGATTTGATATATCTTGATCATGTCTCCTCTCAATCTCTCATTTTTAAGTGAAAAGTCCCAAAGTCCTAGCCTTTCTTTTATGAAAAAGTGTTCATGTCTTCTGATCATTTAGCTTACTCCTTTTTTTTTTTTTTTTACATTTTTTCCAATTCTAACTTGGCAAACCGGAATTGCCAAGATGCAGATGTACAAGAGCTTTGTATAATGGCATTGCACTTAGTTTCCTTAATCTTTTCTAATAATCCCTAGCATAGACTCTTTTTTTGTGGCAGCTGCTCATTGAACCAATATCTTCAGTGAGAAAGATCTTTATTCCAGTTAGTTAAGCCTGCTCTGACTTCATCAGTGTACATATCATTTACACACTTACTTAAACTGAACCACACCCACTTTCACATTGGGCTGACTATTCACCCAAGAGACCCTTTTGGAGTTTTTCATGCTCATTTTTGATCGTTTCCATTCTGGATAACGTAATGCCACCTGCACACTTGGCCAGCTTGCTTTGTATCCCTAAGTCAAAATCATTTATGGCAGCTTCCCCCAACCTTTTGGACACAGTGGAGAGAGGTTTTTTGGAGGACCGGAAGTGGCGTGGTTTCGTGTGCTGCCTGTAAACTGTGGATGGGGCTTTGCTTGTTTGTGCAGCCCAGTTTCTGGCATGCTGCGGATTGATGCCTGTCCATGGCCCAGGGATTGGGGACCCCTCATTTATAGGACAGACATATGTATATGAGATTTTTAAAAAAATTGCAATCTAAAAAATCTACATATATAGTACATATGTCTGAGTGTGGGGGGATGTTGTAAAAAAAATCTAACTGCAATTATTCTTCTTTTTAGTTGAAATGGTAATTTATGCCCACCAAAAAATGCCTAAAGAATCACTTAAATGAAAACTAATCTTCCACCACTACTTTGGCCACAAAGTTCTGCTGCACAAGGAAATTAAAACCAAACACATTTATTGTCTATACTTGAAAAACAGAGCAACCCCTCTCCCCCAAACCTTCCGATACAGACTGGCACAGCAATAAAAGGGTATTAGATTAAAAGCAGCTTCCTCTATTTTGCACACCTTGTGTCTCATCTTCTAAAACTAAACATTTTTACAGATTCTGTTCAATCTGAACTGTACCCTTCTTGTAAAACCTGGCATTCTTTTGGTGTTATACTATGGGGCTTTTAAAAAAGGCTGAACCCAGGATGTTGGACCTGTGTGATTTTACAGCTTTAATCAAGAAGTTGCAGAATGGCAGGTGATAATGAGGCAAGCTGTTATTACAAAAAGGCCGTATGGAATTATTTCTTATTTATACACTTTCCCAAGCATATTATTTGATCAACCAAGAAACTGAGGTTTGATCCCCAAAAAACTGAAAAGTCAATCAGTCTTTCTTCTTAATAAATCATTATTTTTCATGAAGGAAAATCATTAGAAAGGCAACAGTTAGCACAATGTCAAATGCATTATGCTTGTGAAGCTACATTAAAACTGGCAGTTTCCTTATAATCATGGATATGTGTGTTGCCGAATTTAATGGCAACTGCTCTAATTATTACTGTTTACAACCTAATGGCTCTGACAGCTTACTAACATATTTCAACACACATTATATTTACTAAGAATATTGGCTCAGCCAAATCATTTATGATAGCAAAGCATTTAGAGGCATTCAAGCACAAGAATCCATTAATATGGGTGTAAATGCAGAAATTTATTAGTTAAGGCAAACAAATAATTGAGAGAAGAAAGAAATGGAAACATATCCGTATGTGAGGAAAACAATTATTTGTCTTGACTGGCAATACAGTCATCAGGCATTCAGTCTTCACCTTATGCTCTAGCAGTATTCTTATCTCACAAGACTCCATATTTGAGTCTCTCCTTTCTTCGCCTACTAGAACTAAAAGGCTCTGAGGAAGAGAGAACACCAATTGCTATAGAGCAGCCTTACTCAAGCTTTTTACTTCAGAAGAAAGCTTAAAATAATTTTCAGATCTGAGTCCATCACTGCATAAAAGTTATCTGTTCTCCAACTAGCTTGGCACTATATGTGAAGGTTAAAAAAAGATTTATTTGTAATTATCATTCGTGGAAATACTAACAAGAATGGGGACCAGCAGCTGAGTTGAAATGCATCAAAATACCAACATTTTAAGTGCTAGAATTTTGCAGAATGTAGAAGTTTAAAAAACAACAACACAACGATCTCTTGTGGAACCCTAGGGCTCCATACAACCTCAGTTGGGAAATGAAGCTCAGAGCCAACAATCATGATTAGGTCTCTACTGTAAATACGCCGTTTGAGCTGCAATCCTTCATATGTTGCTCTGGGAGGAAGTCTGACTGAATTCCACAGGAATTACATAGAAACACATTATTTAAAAAATGCATGCATTTCTGCTTTAATATTATTGTTTTAATGTATTCAGCTATTCTGTGATCTCTGAAGGTCGAAAAGCACATTTAGTCAATAGCTGATGACAAAGAACCCATGCTGAAACCCCCCCACTTTCACTACAATACCTACGATGCCATCAGCTTTTTTCACTAATCATATACAGGTAATCCTCAAGGTACGAACCATTTGTCAAATGAATCAGACTAAATTTTACAAATTTTTAAAATCAAATTCATTAATTGAATCAAATGGGTCATTAAATGAGCGAAGATCTGACTTACTGTTTCCTCCATTTTGTTAATTGATTGCTGCCACTGTTAACTGAACAACTGCTTTCCTGCTGGCTGCCCATCAGCTGTTTCCGGTGCTGCCTTGGCTTAGGAACTAAATCACTGCAAGCAGGCTTGCAGTTGCTTTTTTTTTAACAAAAAAAAAAACCACTTGTTGCTAGAAGTGTTTTCAGCTGCCGGGGGATGGGCAGTTGCTTTTTTTAAAAAATGAGTATATTAAAGTACTGTAATACAAATCAAAAGTTGAAATTTGCCTTCTAACATGTTTATTGAATAGAGTGAAAAGCAACATTTAAATATATCAAAGCACTGTAAACCACTACCCAGAGAGTGGTTTTCTATTTTCCGCTGCCATCTTTTACAGCTTCAGAGTATGATGGCAACAAGGTTATATTATGCTCATGATGATTTGCTTTTATTCTGATTTTAAAAAAGGATAAATTATACAAGAGGTACAAAGCATAGCAGTAGCTTTCCACTGGCCTAGAAGACAATTTTATCATTGCCTTGGGTTGAGTACAAAGCTGTGTTTGCTGGCTATATCCTTCATCCAGGGTTCCCTTCCTTGTAAAACATAACAAGGAATATATATATAAAATTCTCAAATGACTAGGAAATTCTGAGAGTTGAAATCCACACCTCCTAAAATTGCTGAAGTTAAGATACTGTAGACTATGATCAGAGATTGGAACTGAGGAACCTGTAGAAGCTGCAGAGATTAGACTTGTTTCAGATTCCAGTCTCTGAGCTTCAAAACACTTATGATCCACACATCTTACACCTTTCTCTAGGAGAAGAAAAGCAGAGAAGCTATAATAGTTTATAATTACCAAACATTAATTATTACATGGAATCAAAGATATCTGCTACTTAATCATTAGCTCAGCATAATAATGGATTATTATATAACAACAATAATAATAATGTCTGTGAACAGACTACTTTCCTAGTTTTTTTCTAGAGGCATTGATGTGATTTCCAAACACAACACTGAAGTATATACTTACATCATGAGTCAGTTCAAAGTATTTTTGACAGGCCAGCTGATAATGCATACCTTTCACCAAGTCCAAAATCTAAAAAAAGAAATTGAACCAATTAATACACACAAACATATTTACCCCAATTCCAGTCTGTAAAGAGAACACATATTTAGAAAGCATGATAGAATTGACATATGTGCTTCTATGCTTCTAAAAAAGTCTCAAACTCAAATCAAAATTTAGAAAAATTGTGGCTATTATATTTAGAATAATTATTTCCAGGATATATATTTCAAAAACATTTTTATTAGTTGCAAATGCATGTTTTTGCATTTGAGAAACTGAAACATATATTACTCAACATATATGAACACTCCTCACCCATAGCTTGTTCATGCATGGGTAAAACAATGGGACTGTGATACCAACTAAGAAACTGTAAAAATTTAGAAAAGAAGTAGCGGAAAACCACGTGTTTCACCTTTTGAAAACCTCAAAGTAAGTTGTTTAGAAGCAGCAGTTCCCTGAACAAGAAAGGAAATTGTCTGTTTTGAACTCCTACTAGAAACATTTTTCTATCTCTTGTAAATACAATTTGCTTTCCAATTCTACCTTGTAATCGTTTCTGTCCAGCAGAAGCACTCATTCTTATCAGCAGAAGGCAATGGTGTTTTAAAATTTAAGTTGCATGTCATTTTTTCCCTCTGCTGATCTATAATTATTCTTTATACGTGCTGCTTATCAGCCATAGAAAACTGCTGTAACTGAGAGATAGCTTCAGTAGAAAGAACATTTTTGAGGAATGCAAATTTCTAACCCTTTTTCTGAGAGGCTGACCTTTTAAAGTCAAGAGTGGCAATAAACTCCAGCACAAATCCCTGCTGTCCTCATTATGGAGACTGCCTTATAGTTACTGACAGACGTACAAATAATATTTGCTGAATATATCAAACCTCACTGCTGCCAAAGAAGTGCTTACTGGGTCTGGTTTGCTGTTACAAGCCAAACTGATTAAATATCTGCCTTTGCTGTCACTTCCTGTTAAGTACAATGTGAAAAACAAGTCAACCAGCCAAAAGAATCTGAAGCTTGGTACAGTCGCTTTGCTTTTGAACTGAAGCAAGTTGGGGGTTTGAAAAACTAGTTATGCATATTGCAAACAGAGCCTCAAACTAGATTGCAACAATAACCAACCAAGAAGATTTAATAATATTGTATCATAGATCTAATATATACGGAAAACTTCCTTGGCTTGCAGTAAAAGATGGACAGTATACTGGCAACGTTCTGAGTGGCCTACGGGCAGTTATATTTGAATCACAGGACCGAAGATATGCAGAACTTCACAGCCTAGTAACGGAATGTTCTGGTGTTTCCTAGAACATTTGATTTTTCTTCTGGAATGTACATGTTGTCTTATTTTCTTCTAGAGTGTGCCAATTTCTTCTAGAGTGTGCCAATTTCTTCTAGATTGTGCCAATTCTGATGGTACTTTGTTTTCTAGAAATGATCATTCCAGATCCTTTAAAGCAGGGGTCCCCAACCCCAGGCCGGGGACCGGCACCGGGCCACAGCATACCAGCAACCAGGCTGCACAAACATCTGTTGGATGCAGGCAGCACACAAAACCATGCCCCCTCTGGTCCACGGAAAAATCTTTCTCCACAGAACCGGTCCCTGGTGCCCAAAAGGTTGGGGTTCTCTGCTTTAAAGCACAAATATTCATATTTTTCTATGTGTATTTTAGCAGGATTTAGAGTTATCTCATCAATCATAAATCTGGTATGGTGCTTATGGTTTAGACTGGGATTCATTCCAATACCCATGATGTTTATTTATTTTTTCACACAAACATGGTTTCATGTTGTGATCTCTAAAATTCTGCTAAAGTCCATATAGAAAATTATGACTACTTCTGCTTTAAAAGGTCCCATTTTGTTAAAATTGCAGCAATGAACCTGGGAATCCTATAAAGTGTGCAGGTATTTATGCTGTAGAGTTAAATGAACTAATCTTGCAATCAAGTGAAAGATTTGGCAAATGACCTGTGAAAACAATATTCCAAGGAGCACTTTCTGGATCACACTTTTATTCAATCACTGTGTGCAGCCACTGTCATATAAAGCTGTTGCATCTCTGTGGGCAAATATAGTTTCCACCTGATAGCTAAGTTAAAAACTTTGCAGACCAATTTTACTTTAATCTCCATATTGCCTTGGCTTCTGAAAGAAATATAATCAGCAGCTGAAGCCAAGAACTCTATATCTTTAACAGCAATATAAAACAGGTTTTGTCAAAAGGTGAGAAAAAATACAGGTAATCCTTGTTTAGTGACCACAATTGGAACAGGCAGCTCAGTATAGCAAAGCAATTGCTAGGTGGAAAATCATTTGAGGCAACAGTGCTTATGATTGTACTTTAGTTTTCCTTTCCCCCCTTTCCTATCCCTGGCACTGGGATAATTAGTAAGGGAATTAATGTTTGCATTTGTATTGTATTTGGAGAGGAAAGGATTACAAGAGAGTAAGCAAGCATACAAAGGGGAATCAAAAGTAACATGCTGGAGCCAGCAACCCTGAGTGTGAAGTGCAAGCTGCTGGTGTGTTCTCCAATGTGTGCCTGCTTACTCTCTTGTAATCCCCTTCTCTCCAATCTACAAGAGGAGAAAAAAAGAAAAAAATTAACCAGGCATAGGACAATGTATACTGACACCGTCTGCATGTATGGATACATTCATGTGGCATTTCATAAGAACACAGATGTATTGATTTTGACCCAAAAAATATTACATACACTTCCACTTGCAAAAGCCCATTACTATCTGTTTCTGAAAATGCTCTGACCTGAAGGGCTGCTTTGGCCAGGCAATGGGTGTGAAGGTGGTATATAAGACAGGAAAGCTTGTTACAGTTTATTGCCCAGTCTTCTCTGGAGCCTATCAATGAAATCAGATGATGGGCTATTCTGCTACGTATAAGCTTAGCATGGTTAACTTCCTTTAGCTTTACAATCCTTGATCTCTTCATTCACTCAAGGTCAGTATGAAGCATTTTTCAAATAAAATAGTTACTTTTATTCCTAAAGTCTCAATATTTCAATAAAGGCTTGCTGCATTTTATCTACTTCTAACCTTCATTTTTATTTGAAAGGTGACTTAAAATGTGATTGAAGTGCAGCAACTGTAACATATTTAGAGACATTTTTGTAGTTCCAGGTCAGTTTCTCACTATCCCAGTGTAACTCGGCTTGTTCTTTACAAAGACATTCATTTCTTTGCCTAGCCAAATCTGCCATCTGCTTTCTCTAGGGATTTTATTTTTAACATCCAACAGTGAAAAATATAGGAATACTCTATTTATATCATTGAGGGATTTCACTTTGTTTTTAAAAATCCTAATTTTTCAGTTGGAAAGAAACCAAACAAAAACAATGCATTTTTACTTTCACATACTCAAGATAATTAGAGGAAATGGCACAACTTCTCTTGCCCGTTATCATAAGAAACTATATTATTCTATACAATAGAAAAGAAGCAACATTTGTTCAACTATTAATAAAAAATAACAATCTAGTATATTCTCTCAATCTTCACCATGTAAGAGCTGCAATTGATGTGATCAAAATAAGACAACAGAAATTAACTTTGTAAATGGAATTATTTAACACCATCCAGGTGGTCCTTAACTTATAGCCATTTGTTCAATGACCATTCATAGTTATGGCAGTGCTGAAAAAGTAGACGTACAACCCGTCTGCAAAATTCCAGCCATCACAGCACCCCTGCAGTCATGTGATCACGATTCAATGTCCAGTTCACTGTTAAAAGTTATAGGGAGTCACAGTCACATGACTATCATTTGCAATCTTCCCTGCTGGCTTCCCCAAGTCAATGGGAAAGCTGGCAGGGAAGGTTGCAAATCACTTCCACTTTTTCTCCCACCTACAGTATGTGTGTATATACAGACATACATGCTTGCTAACTGCTATATTTTAAAAATATTTTTTTTTTAAAGTCCCAAAGATGCTTTTTTTTTTCCACGAGGCAACTGGACTTCCTTTTTTTTCTTTGAAGACGTTTTGCATCTCATCCAAGAAGGTTCTTTAGCTCTGACTGGATGGTGGGGAATGGAAAGATGTATACTCCTTGCAGACAAGCTGATCATTTGCATTCTTTTAGCGAGTTGTTAATGCTACCTGGAGGCTTATCTGTCCTCCGGGTCACCTGAGTGGTGCAAATGTGTGTGGAGCCTTCTTGGAACTGTTGAAAGGACTGTATTGTAAACTGGAGATAGGTGATGTCATCTCCTTCCCTCTCTGTTGAGAGAGAGCTGTTCAATTTTGTTCAGACCAGCGGTCCTCTTTGTCCAAAGCTTAAATTATATCCCACCTTTCCATTAAAATGGGAACGTTAAAAGCATCACCAATATTACTTGATGGCTACTTCTGTGGTTCTTGTCTGCAATATTACAGGTTTTAACAGGGAAGGAAGTATTTGAAGACCACAAGAGAGCCCACTAGGAGTGTTTTCAAAAGCATGCACATATCTATTCAGGTAGGTGAGAACATCATAACAAGTTGTACACTATGATTTAAGAGACAGTGGCATTCATTGTCCATAACTGTGAAATAAAACTGAAAAGATATTTCTGATGCCTTGTTACCAAAATATCAGAAGAATAGATTCTCTACCTGACTGATTCCAGAAGGAGGTATTTTATATGACTGAAGCTTCTGCTTCAGCAGCTCTGGGTCACTGTGGCGAAACGGGCATCCTAACAAAAAGAAAAAGGGTAGAGACATACCCAGAAAATTATTCACAAACTGGCATAGCAAAGCGCCTGAGAATCTAGCAAACAGTGCTTATTTATTATCTACCAAATACAGAAAAATAACTACTCCCGCGTGCAAACTTTTCAACAAGATCTGTTCAGCATGAGTATTTGTGGTTCTTGGCCTATATAACCTGACACAATTCTCAACCAATAGGCTGGCATTGATATTTGAAAGAAGTTCTGGCCAAACTGGAATGTTTCAGGTTAGGAAAGGCTATTCTGAGAGCTCAAAATACATAATTCAGTAGGTTAAGGCTGCAACAGGCATGAAAAATTATACACATAAAACAGTAATTGTACCACCAGAAGAAACTGCAGTAGCTTACAAAATAGGTGGAAAGAAACACCTGTTAGCATAGAGGACTAGCTAACAGTAATTACATTTGGTGTTTCATTTCATTCATTTCACTGGAATTGATGTGAAATTCAAACATTGCAGCTTAAATGATAAATGTATTATAATCAAATTAGATTATTGCTAGTGAAATCTGTAGGCATCATTGGTTATACACAACTTACAAATACAGATGAAATTACCTCATCATACATTTGTATGTGTCTGAATGTACATATATGATTTTTACAAATAACTGAAGAGGGTAAACCTATCCAAGGTGGATACGTTTGCCGCCTTCATATTCTTTCCCTTATTTTCCCCACAACAACCACCCTGTGAGGTGGGTCGGGCTGAGAGGGAGAATGACTGGCCCAAGGTCACCCAGCTGGCTTCCATGGCTAAGGCAGGACTAGAATTCAAAGCCTCCCAGTTTCAAGTCTGTTACCTTAATTGCTAGACCAAAGTGGTTCTCCTTTAATACTTTAAAACTTTAATGCTATTGATTTATGATGGTTGTCTGGAAAGTCCCTACAGTTTTCTTGGCAAGATTTTTCAGAAGTGGTTTACCATTGCTTGCTTCCTAAGGCTGACAAAGAATGACTAGCTGAAGTTCATCTCCATATCCAATGTGGGACTAGAATTTAGGGTTTCCTAGTTTCTAACCTGGTACCTTAAGCACAAACTGGCTCTCTGCCTGTCTAATCCTATAAATACATACCCTAAACAGTATTAGTGATCTTCTAATTCTGCATTCAAACCTGAATGACTCTGAGGAAGAGAGATAAAAATGAGGATGAGACTAGATTATTATTTACCCATTTTATAAAAGAAAAAAAAATACATTTATCAATATATCTTCCTCTTAATCCAATTATCTAGGCACTTTTGTGTAGGAGATCTGTACTCTAGAGTACTGGCCTTAGATGACTGAGAAGAAATAATGGATGAAATAAACAATTCACTGTAATTGGCAAGTGACTTCCCACTGTCAGAGAAAAAGGAGTCTCTTAAAGGAAAAACTAAACATTTGGAAGAAAACCTGATTTTATGTAATTTGTGGAAATGTATTACAGTACTCCCCGTTTCATTCTAGAGACAATGAATCATTAGATTTATAACATCCCATAGATTCTGGAGAGTGTCTGGTTTCTGGGAGAAAAAAAAATCAAATGATTTATAGCTCTTTGACAGTTTGCTGGCAAAGAAAAAGCGCTGAGGCACTTGTTGCTTTGAAACATTGTGGGGATGAAAACAAGCAAAAGAAGAAACGCAGCAAGGCTCAGTGGAGCACAGACTGAATGAACCTTTTTTTGTCTGACCTGGTTCGATAATAAGACAAATTGTCAGAAGAGGAGCAGCACACTCGATTTGATAGCAAAGGCTGCCTTAAGCCACAAATCCAACCTCTGCCACTAATACAGCCAACCAATCCATTGGCTTCTAAAGCTGCCTGTCAGGAAGAAGCACTCACCGTGATAATCCCCTTGGCCTGGGAGATTGGATAGGATAATTTTCATGCAACTGTATGGAGTATAATCCGTTCTCTTGCCTTCTTTTCCATAGTTATGCCGGATGCTGTAAGCATATCCTTTATCAAACTGAAGAGTGAAAACAAACAATAAAAAAGCAGATGGTTTACAACCGAGTGTGCGTAGCGTATGCAATTTTAGTTACCATGAAGGATGAAATATTGATGCTTCATAACTGTTAAAAGTTTTACAAGTAGAAGAATTCAAAAGTACAACAAAATTGAATCTATGTTATCAAGCATTTGGCAGAAAGGGAATTTCACCTGGTTATTTCCGTAGGACTTTGCTTACAAAAAAATAGATTTACAGGGGTTTTTCCCCCTCAATATCTTCTTTAAATGGAGTTATTAAAAAGAATCAAAGGAAACAGAAGGAAACCAATTTAGTTGAAAACAATCTTTCAAACTCTAAAAAAAGAAGCCCTTGTTATGGATAACAAATGGCACATTTTTTTCAATTAGCTCATTTTGTAACTTGGTGATTAAGATACATAGTTCCTACATAATATAAAAAGCTTGTACTTATTACAAACTGTATTCTAGTAGATATTTATTGTTATAATTATGTTTATAGCTTCCCATTCCAAAAGATTCTGAGTGGTTTACAACAACAAAATATGCAATTAAAAAGTTGAAAACACACCCCCGTACTTGGGAAGACAGCCATCTTGTAAGAAACTTCTGGAAACCCAGAAAAGAATATGTTATATTTATGGGATTAATAGATTATATATTTATATTTATAATATATTTATATTTGTGTATATATTATATACATGGGAATACTGTTCCAGAGAGAAGCATTAATGGTAGAGAAGATAAATACCTTGGCCTTCCTGCCTTATTACAAAACAAAGGAGCTCATGACTTTTAAAGACTCACATTTCATTAGGATTTAAACCAGGCGTGTCCTGGACAGACAGTAATGCAGTCCATAAGATCATAAAAATTTATTATGTAATTTATATACATTAACTATATTATATATTTTATATATGCAGCCAAAGACAATTCCTCTTCACTCAGTGTGGACCAGGCAAGCCAAAAGGTTGGACACACCTGGTTTAAACCAACATTATGAAGATTTCAGTCTTACAGTATATTCTGTTTTAGGGTTCCCCAAAAAGCACCTGGTGCAAAAGGCATGCACATTTAAATAAATAAATTTAAAACTAAAATTGTAGAAAAAGTATGTTTCTGGTTGCCACTTCTCCCCACATCCGTATTTCAATCCAGTCAAAATTATTTCCACCATTTTGTCACTATCGGCTGAAAGAAAGTCAAGAAAGTTCTTTATAATGCTACCTATTCAATACCTGGAAAAGAACGTAAATGGAAGATAGGAGCTCTATTCAATTGCATACACACCAAGGAGGAAAGGGACTCCAACCCAAGTCTCAGCAATGGACTATTTCCAAATGGTTCTTTGCACATAGATAGATCTCTAAAGTGTCAATGCACAGAGACTAAAAAGAAAAACAATGAGGTGTGGCAAGGGAATAGTATTAGCACCTTGAATGTATCTTCAATTTAAATATTTTGGAAGCTCGAAACAACTCTGAAAAGTAAAAAAAATTCTCCATATAGAGGCAAGAGAATTTGGACAACCAGGCTACTTCAGGCTGAAAGCAATTAACTTTTACCCTCAATTCTGGAAAGCATGATGGTCTTCAGAGGTTCCATGTCTCTTGTAGCACAAGAGAATATTTACTCAGAAGCACACACACACCCCTTATTTTCCACACGTGTACTTTTAACTACACTTTTGAATACATTTCAGCACAGTAATTTGATTCTTTCTTCATAGAGAATGAGGAACCTTGAGGTGTAGTGGTGTAGCAATGGCCACACTGGTGAAGATTGTCTCGCATCTTATGAGCCAGTGTTAAATAATTCAGAGATTTTCACCAGATTTTAAAGAACAGTCTCCCCCACCCCCCAAAAAAACAAAGAGGTTAACCCAGAGGAGTTCCACAAGAGGAAGAGAGGAGAACTAACAGAAACGTTGTGAGTTCTGAGAGGTTATGTGCTGCGCTGTGAGGGCAAAAAAGACCACTACTGTTGATTATCCAGTGAAGTAAGGGCAGAGAGTCTGAATAGCATGCACTTCTGAACTAGCAGAGACTGAAACAGGGTTCTAGAAAGAAGCCAATAAGGAATGCTAACAGAAGTGAAATCCCCTTAAGAGTGTCTTGCTTTCCAGTTCAGCACCTCAGCCACAGACATTAAACTGGTTCTAAGTATGTAGAAATACAGGATTAAATTACTAAATCTGCAAACACTACTATTAATTTTACTATCATCCTTATATAAAAAATGATATCCTAAATCAAAACACCTATGGCATGTAGTAGGATAACACCTTTAAATAACACCTGTAAATTCAAATTAATAGGCAAGAATTTATTAAATAACTTCCAATACTCAGAGTGGCATGTCGTGATAAGGGCAGCAAAATGTAATTATTTCTCTGCTCTTATTTTATTCTCCAACTGTTGCTCAGCCACCCTATTTAGGATGATTTGCTAGGGAGAGACAAACACAGGATCATCTGCAGGGTTGCTCTGAGAAATATTTTAGCTATTGGCAGATAGTCATTCAGACCTGTTCCGAGTTGGACAGAAGTTAGCGCAAACAGAAGGATCAAGGGAAGACTTTTTCTACAAAGGACATAAAGAAGCATGTTTCTAAGTGGTGAGGAGAAGCAAAAGTTGAAAGGCAATGGTCTACCAACCCCGTAAGAAAAGGATGGGGAAAAGGGAAGAGAGATGAATAAAAGAATGAGAGTAAAGAATCAGAAGACAAGATAGATTAAAATGTCTCAGTAATTGTTTTGCTACCATCTCTTGTAAAACTGGAGAAAGAAAATTTTGGTATTATTTAATTCAGTACTGTTGGAACTATTTAATGAAGGAGCCTAGTGCTACTTTTAGCTAGAAGAGATAAGAATACCTTCTTAAATGAACAGTGCAAAGAAATAGAAGAAAACAACAGAATAGGGAGGACCAGAGATCTCTTCAAGAAAATTGGAGATATGAAGGGAACGTTTCATGCAAAGATGGGCATGATAAAGGACCAAAATGGCAGGGACCTAACAGAGGCAGAAGAGATTAAGAAGAGGTGGCAAAGCTACACAGAAGAACTATACAAGAACGAGCTTAACGTCCCAGATAACCACGATGGGGTGGTCACTGACCTCGAGCCAGACATCCTAGAATGTGAAGTGAAATGGGCCTTAGGAAATCTGAGCAACAACAAAGCTAGTGGAGGTGACAGTATTCCAGCTGAACTATTCAAAATCTTAAAAGACGATGCAGTAAAAGTACTACACTCAATTTGCCAGCAAATCTGGAAAACTCAACAGTGGCCACAGGATTGGAAAAGGTCAGTTTACAGTCCAATTCCAAAAGAAGGCAATGCCAAAGAATGTTCAAACTATCGCACCATTGCACTCATTTCACATGCTAGTAAAATTATACTTAAAATCCTACAAGCTAGACTACGCAGTATGTGGATCGAGAACTACCAGAAGTACAGGCAGGATTTCCAAGAGGCAGAGGAACTAGAGATGAAATTGCCAACATACGCTGGATCATGGAGAAAGCTAGGGAGTTCCACAAAACATCTTCTTCTGCTTCATTGACTATGCTAAAGCCTTTGATTGTGTGGATCACAACAAATTGTGGCAAGTTCTTAAAGAGATGGGAGTACCAGACCATCTTATTTGTCTCTTAAGAAACCTATATGTAGGTCAAGAAGCAACAGTGAGAACTGGACACGGAACCACTGATTGGTTCAAAATTGGGAAAGGAGTTCGGCAAGGCTGTATACTGTCGCCCTGCCTATTTACAGTGGGGCAAAAAAGTATTTAGTCAGCCACCAATTGTGCAAATTCTCCCACTTAAAAAGATGAGAGAGGCCTGTAATTGTCATAATAGGTAGACCTCAACTATGAGAGACAAAATGAGAAAACAAATCCAGACAATCACATTGTCTGATTTGGAAAGAATTTATTTGCAAATTATGGTGGAAAATATGTGGTCAATATCAAAAGTTCATCTCAATACTTTGTTATATATCCTTTGTTGGCAATGACAGAGGTCAAACATTTTCTGTAAGTCTTCACAAGGTTGACACACGCTGTTGCTGGTATGTTGGCCCATTCCTCCATGCAGATCTCCTTTAGAGCAGTGATGTTTTGGGGCTGTCACTGGGCAACATGGACTTTCAACTCCCTCCAAAGGTTTTCTATGGGGTTGAGATCTGGAGACTGGCTAGGCCACTCCAGGACCTTGAAATGCTTCTTACGAAGCCACTCCTTTGTTGCCCGGGCGGTGTGTTTGGGATCATTGTCATGCTGAAAGACCCAGGCACGTTTCATCTTCAATGCCCTTGCTGATGGAAGGAGGTTTGCACTCAAAATCTCATGATACATGGCCCAATTCATTCTTTCCTGTACACGGATCAGTCGTCCTGGTCCCTTTGCAGAGAAACAGCCCCAAAGCATGATGTTGCCACCTCCATGCTTCACAATAGGTATGGTGTTCTTTGGATGCAACTCAGCATTCTCTCTCCTCCAAACACGACGAGTTATGTTTTTACCAAACAGTTCTACTTTGGTTTCATCTGACCATATGACATTCTCCCAATCCTCTTCTGAATCATCCAAATGCTCTCTAGCAAACTTCAGATGGGCACGGACATCTACTGGCTTAAGCAGGGGGACACGTCTGGCACTGCAGGATCTGAGTCCTTGGTGGTGTAGTGTGTCACTGATGGTTGCCTTTGTTACGTTGGTCCCAGCTCTCTGCAGGTCATTCACTAGGTCCCCCCCATGTGGTTCTGGGATTTTTGCTCACCGTTCTTGTGATCATGTTGACCCCATGGGGTGAGATCTTGCGTGGAGCCCTACATCGAGGGAGATTATCAGTGGTCTTGTATGTCTTCCATTTTCTAATTATTGCTCCCACAGTTGATTTCTTCACACCAAGCTGCTTGCCTATTGCAGATTCAATCTTCCCAGCCTGGTGCAGGTCTACAATTTTGTTTCTGGTGTCCTTTGACAGCTCT